GGGGGGGGGCGCAGTGGTAGAATAGATGGGCAATAGACTTTTCTTTTTGTTCTCTCAACTTTTGGGTGAAAGTTGACAGAACCTATCAGTTTTTCATTCCACAATGCATCGATTTCTGTTCCGTGACATTGGTCACAGCCCCCTCGCCGTAACAGCATTCTTCCCACCATTTGTCCTTGTTCCTGCCCTTTCTGCCTTTTGAGCTTTACTCTGGGGCAAAGGCTGCCCTTTTGGTCTCCTGTGGTTATTGTTCTTTGTGGGTGTCATTGTTTACTTTCTAGGGCTGTCTGTTGTTTGGCTGAAAGGTGATCCCGGTGGGTAGACTCTGCTCCAAACAGAAAGGGTGTCGAGGACCACGGTCCCTAGTGCTCCACCAATCTCTCCCCTTCTGGGATGTATCGTGTCTTGATGGTGGCTGCTTGCTCAATCCCTTCGAGCTGTGGTCCAAACTAATCATGAGTATGACCAAGCACCGTCTACCCCTTAAGTCATCAAACCACCCTTTCTTCCCAGCAGTTAAACAACCGGACTCATTGGCCATAGGCTGCTCTTGTAACTCTGGAAAGTCCTAACTTGGGAAAGCCCAGGACTAAAGCCAGTTGCAGAATGAGCGAACGTCAGCATTTCAGAACAAGGAGGGAGGTGTTTGGACATTTCTCAGTCTAATTAAACGGCAGATGTTTACTTTTAGGCCGTGTTCAAGTTCCCATTCCAATCTTGCCTTAAGACATTTCTTTTTGTCCCTGTACTCAGACAGCCTAGCCAAAGGCCCAGTGGATACATACTTGATCCTAACTTTCTTGCTGCTATGTAACAGGCAGAAGCCTCTAGAGTCATACGCCCGTATTCTCTGAGCTTTTTCTTGGCACCTGAAACCCTGATCCTGCGCCGCTGAGTGACAGTCGTGGATGAGCTCCCTAAGAACGCACGTCTTGTGTTCATCCACTGAGAAAAGGCGTTCCCTGTTAGCCATGGCGGGATGTCTAGTGCATGCAAATGCCTTGCCTTCTCTTATGCCATCTGCTGGAGCCCCCGCCGGCTTCCACAATGATGTGGTTCAGGCCAATTCTTCACGTGTTTGGTGGAGTTCACAGGAAAGGGCCTCGTTTGTCTGAAAGCCGTCCTGATCAAAGAGTTCAGCATCTCTTTTTCTTTTTAACTCTCCTAGTTTGAACTCACTTAGAAGAATATTTTGTGAAGCCGTTCAGAAAAATAAGTTTTTCTATACAGTATCCTCCAACATCAAAATAAAACCCAAGAGACACCTAGCTTTAGGATCCTTCAAGTCCTGAATGACGGCGGCTGAACTCGCTTCATAGACAGTTCAGTTCATTGAAAGCGTAACTTGGTGAAAAGTTCCCTCTTGTTCTTTCCTACCCTTAGCCCACAGCGCCAAGACCTCACAGGCCTCTGAATAGACAAAGGGGTTTTATGAATGAGAGTCAGGATTAAGAGGCTTGCCTTTTGTCTCCTGGCCCTGGCATTCTTTGCACTCCCTGGGAAAGCGGATCTTTAACAAGAGATCCTCAATTGTGCCTCCACGGTTTGGGTGGAGGGATTCACCAGATGGAGAGCTGCCCTGTTTCCAACCAGCATTTGACATCCTTCCCCTTGAATGGTGACATTCAAATCACGTACTTCCCAGTATTTTGGACATGTTGGCCAGGAGAGACCTGTCCCTGGAGGACACCATCCTTGGTAACAAAGAGGGGCGGCGGGGGGAAAAAGGCAGGCCCCCGACAAGATGGATTGATCCAAGGCTGCAAGAGAGGGCTGACACATCAGAACCGTTGTGAGACGGCGGAGGACTGAGCGGTGGTGTGTCATTCCTACATAGGGTGACTATGGCGCCCCTGGCACCGGAGCAGGCAGTGTTTTTTTTCTGTTGTACATAGAGTGGCGAAGCGTCAGAACGGACTCCAGGGTCCCCAACACCAGCAGCCAGTACCATCCCTCTCAACCTCTGTATCCGCCTCCTGACACCTGCATGGGGCACAGGTGGGTGCGCGGGGGACACACAAAGATGCACATGGGTACATACACAGACATAAGCACACAACGATATACCTACAACATTGCCGTTAGCTGCTGCCAAGCCAGACCCAATTGAACAATAGAATGCTCGCTGCACTGCCCAGGCCTGCCCGGGGTGGCATCAGAGGCAGAAGGGACTGCTGGGTTTTTATGAACTGATTTTCCAAAGGAGATCACTAGGCCTTTCTGCCTAGTTCAGCTGAGTCTGAAAGCCCAAGCTGAGCAGAAACTGGTACAGCATCATGGCAATGTGCCAATCTTAAGATACTGACAGATGTGTGGGCATGACACACCTTGGCCAAGGAATCAACCTGTGTCTTCTTCATGAAAGGCAATCATTCTACCGCACCATCACCAGTGCCCCTGTGAACCTATCATAACAGACCGATCGGCATAGACTGGCACTCAGTTCGGGAGGGATTACTAGCCTGCTCACAGGACTATTTTTCTTGCCACACCCAGCATGGCGCCAGAACCAATGGAGGTTTCCAAAAACAGAGAGCAACATTCTATCCATTCACTTTAGAATTAAAATTTTAAAAATCACCCTAAAAGAATTACACCCCCAAAATCAGACCACTCAATCCCAGCGCCATAAGGTTCATTCCAACCTATTGGTCTTGTACAGGGCTCCCGAGGCTGTCAATCTTTAAAAGAGCAGAGAGCTTTCTCCTGAGGTGTGGCTGGTGGTTTTGAACTGTGGACCTTGTGGTAAGCAATTCAAAGCAAAGTTTATACTACCTATGAAAAGATGATTTGATCAAACCAATTATGCTTTAAGATTATGAAACATCCAAGAACAAGAACTCAGATGATGCTTATTTCTACAAAAGTGCTGTGAATGAGTTTTATTTTTTCACTGGTGTCTCAAAGCTCTAAAGATAGAATTATTCTAGTTCACACCCACTTTTGTGACGAGACTTCATTTAAATATTTTAGACTATAGATGGAGCATATAATCAGAAGGTTATTGTAATAGAAAGCGTGTTTCCTCTTATCTCAATGCCTTCATGAGATCGTTTGGAATACGTGTTTGTCCATCTTCGGGTCTTATGTAATAATCATATCTGTCTCTCTTGTCCATATGGCAAGTTTGGTCAGAAGTTATATTTATTGGGTTCTTCTCTTTACTGTTGATGTCACATTTACTAATCGCTTCCTTATTTTCCTTCTGGTTCTACGTTTTTCTTTTATTTACACCTAATATTTCCATTCTGTGTACATCTGAAGTATTTAAAAAAGAATAGAATCCTACCCTCCCATCCCCCCACAAATGGTTAGCCAGTTATCCCCATAAACTCACTGGATGAAGTACTTTGGGTCAATTGTATAGCATGCGAATCCCATCTCAATTAAGTTGTTCTAAAGCTCACATGGAGGGCTCCTCAATGCAGTGTTGAAGAGCCATCTCTGCGTCTCAGAGCCTTGGGATGCAGTGTGGCAGGTCAGATCCCCCTTCTCGGACACCACATGGTGGAAAGCAAACCAGTCTCCTCTTTTCACCTCAGTCCACTTCCAACGCAACTGCCCGTGCATGCTTCTTCTCCGACCCTGGCTGCCGCAGCTCAAACCAGAGGGCGCAGTCCTCCAGTGGCCAACTCTGCAGCAGAGTTCGGACGCCAGCTGTAGCTCGGAGGTCCCCACTCGCCCTCACTTGTGACCTGCTGACTCACTACTTCCTGAGGTTCAACAATTCGCTAGAATGACGCCCAGAGCTCAGGAGAGCGCTACAGTGTCCCACTGGTCTTA